TCCCAGGAAGGACAGCACTTGCAAACTTTCCATAAACTTTCCATAAACAGTTACACAGGGGGTGATCAGCGAGGTGTAATTTTCACAATTTGTATAAAAGTCTTCTTCATTCATGGAGAAGTTTCTGAGAAGGTCAAAATTGCCCTGCAACTGGCTAAGTTTTTCTACTGCCTACTATGTAATAGATGTTTTCATCTATTACACTATTACGTTAACTTTCTTTTTTCTTTTCTTTTCTATTTTTTTGAGACAGAGTCTTGCTCTGTTGCCCAGGCTGGAGTGCAGTGGCCTGATCTCGGCTCACTACAACCTCTGCTTCCCAGATTCGAGCGATTCTCTTCCCTCATCCTCCCAAGTAGCTGGGATTACAGGCACACAGCATCACACCCAGTTAATTTATGTATTTTTAGTAGAGGCAGGGTTTCTCCATGTTGGCCAGGCTGGTCTCGAACTCCTGACCTCAGGTGATCCGCCTGCCTCGTCTTCCCAAAGTGCTGGGATTAAAGGCGTGAGCCACCGTGCCCCGCCACAATTATGCTAACTTTCTAATGGACTCTTTAAGAATTGCCGGCAACTATGGTTTACCCTTCTTTATTCAATAGCACCATTCTCCACTTACAATAGTCGCAGTATACCGAGCATTTCTTTCTTCCTTTCACTACCTGATCAAAATCATAATTTCTGAGTGTCTTCTATCAATCACTTGATGAATATGCCTGAACACTTACACAGGTGTCTTTACACACAATGAAAACCAAGATTTTCCCTTGGGGTGGATGCAGACAAGAGTTAGCTGAAACGTGGAGATTATTTTTACATTTCTCATAAACTCTAGAAGGCTAGGGAAACATTTTCTACAGTGTTGGCAGACTGAATAATTGCTACAAAAGTATATACATGCACTTATCCCTGAAAACCATGTGTATGTCATGCTACGTGGCCAAAGGCATTTTGCAGATCTATTAAGATTAAGAAACCACTTTTTATTTTATTTTTTAACTTTTATTTTAAGTTCAGGGATATAAGTGCAGATTTGTTACATAGGTAAACTTGTGTCAAGGGGGTTTGTTGTACAGATTATTTCATCACCCAGGTATTAAGTCTAGTGCCCATTAATTACTTTTCCTGATCCTCTCCCTCCTCCCACCCTCCACTCTCCAAAGGCCCCAGTGTGTATTGTTCTTCTTTATGTGTCCATGTGTTCTTATCATTTAGCTCCCACTTGTGAGAACATGTGGCATTTGGTTTTGTTCCTGTGTTACTTGGCTAAGGATAATGACCTCCAACTCCACCCATGTCCCTGCAAAGGATATTATCTCATTCTTTTTCATGGCTGCATAGTATTCCATGGTGTATATGTACCACATTTTCTTTATCCAATCTATCATTGATGGGCATTTAGGTTGATTCCATGTCTTTATTTTTGTGAATAGTGCTGCAATGAACATATACGTGCATGTGTCTTTATAATAGAATGATTTATATTCCTTTGGGAAACCACTATTAAATTAGGTAGATTATATTGAATTATCAAGGTGGGCTCAATCTAATGACATGGGCTCTTACACACAGAGGATGTTCTCCGGATAGAAGTAGAAAAGAGATACAGCAGAGGAGGAAGTTAGAAAGATTGCAAGTGTAGTAAGGATTCAACCTGCAATTGCTGACACAAGATAAATGCAAAGACTAGAGAAAGGTCTCAAGAAATTATGGTTGCTACAGACAAATGCAGTCAGAAAATAGGGCCTTTGTCTTACAAGTGCAGAAAATTGAAATATGCCAACAACCTGAATGAGTTCTAAAGGGGGTTCATCCCAGAACCTTACAACAAGAGTACAGGCTCTGAGAGTTTGGTATGGGCCTTGTGAAACCCAGAGCAGAGAAACCAGCAGAGCCAACCGGGATTTCTCACCCAGAGATGTGACATAATAAATGTATGTTGTTGTAAAATGCTAAATTTGCAATAATTTGTTACTGCATTGAGAGACATCTACCACAACTTCCTGGAAGGACTACAGGGTTTGTTAGAGTCCAGTCTTTTTAGATGGTTGCTAGACAGTGACTTCCTTGATCCTTCCTCATTTACCACTTCTATGGGGGGGTTTTGGGTTTTGGCCACTTAGTTAAGCTCATTCATCAGTGACTAGTCTCAAAGAGGTCACCAGATTAAATTCTCCTGTCTTTCTCATCCAATTTTCTGTTTAAAATCTTTAGCTTCAGAGTTGTATGCCAAGAACTAGCAGATTCTGTTTCAAATCTGACTCAACTCACAAGCAAATTCAGAAAAAATTTTGGTTGGAGTGGAAGCACCCAGAACAGATAAGCAGGTACATAACGTTCACTGCCTAAGTAAACAATTACATGGAAGGAGCTGTTGTTATCAGAGAAGTTGCAAGCTGAGTGATGTGGCAAACAGAGGACATCTGCAGGGAGTTGGAGTGCTCTAAGTCAGGAGAAAGGAAGGAAGGTTATTCTGGGTTTTCTTTCCCATAGGGAGCAGGGTGCAGCCTTCATGGAAGGAAGCAGGGAAGAGCTGGACAGCAGGTAAGGATCCAGATTTGGGCACAAGGACTCACAGGGGCTGACTCAAGGAAAGAACAGTGTAATTTGGGAAGTGCTGGATCTGGTCCCATGTGCCAGCACCTGGGCAAAATCAGCTCCCAAAGAACTCTAGAGCTAGGGGTGGATGGGCCCTATGAAATGAGGCCCACAGGCAGTCCCCAAAAGGTATTCAATTCTCGTTTTCTCCATTATTTATTACATCTGGATTTAGTACATTGACCCCAGGTTCCTTGTTTTCATTGCCCAGAGACACAGTGCAGTAGTGAGAAGAGAAACGAATTAAGAGACACAAGTCAGCTTAGTCAAGGAGGAGAGGGAACAATGTGGATTCTAGACTGATTCAGAATAGGGGTGTAGTCCCAGTATTATCACTTACAAGTCAGGGAAACTCAGGAAAAGTGCAGAGTTCTATGAGCCTCTTCATCTGTGAAGCTGGTTTGATAAACAGTCCTCTTGCTCCCTGGCTCACGTATTTGGCATCTCAGTATACCCTACTGTAAAGTAGGAATGTTGGGCCGGGCGCGGTGGCTCACACCTGTAATCCTAGCACTTTGGGAGGCTGAGGCGGGCGGACCACGAGGTCAGGAGATCGAGACCATCCTGGCTAACACGGTGAAACCCCGTCTCTACTAAAAATACAAAAAAAAAAAAAAAAGAAAAAGAAAAAAGAAAAAAATTAGCCGGGTGTGGTGGCAGGCACCTGTAGCCCCAGCTACTCGGGAGGCCGAGGCAGGAGAATGGCGTGAACCCAGGAGGCAGAGCTTGCAGTGAGCCGAAATCATGCCACTGCACTCCAGCCTGGGTGACAGAGTGAGACTCTATCTCAAAAAAAAAAAAAAAAAAAAGTAGGAATGTTGGAATGTATCTACCTTATGCAAGGCATCTGGCACATTACCTTATATTGGGTTTTAATAAATTACAGTTATTATTATATTTATATTGACCCCCAAATCTACCAATTTTCCCTCTTTTTGTTTGCTTTGCTTTGTTTTATCCAGGAATTGTCAGATAATTTGCAGCCCACTAGCATACAACACAACAAATCAGCCAAAATGTTGCTTAAACTAAGTTATGCGCTATACAACTTTTTTGAGGACATGTTATTTATTGTTGATATGGAGGCGTCTTATCCAGTTTGATGCAACTCAGAGCTCTTAGAAATTGTGTCAAGGTCTACCTCAGTCCCTCCCTTCCAACTGTCCTTCGCTCCAAACCACATGTATTTGCAATTATTTCACCCCCAAAAAATCTAGTTTTAGTTTATAGTTTGCCAAAGTATATACAAGATAACCTAGTTGAAATGCCCATTTAATGGATGGGCTGTCCCTCTCCCAAATCACTGCAGATTGCCAGCACAGTGGCTTCTGAGCTTCTTATATGAGTATCATCATTATTCCTGAGATACTCCCTTGTGGTAATAGGTATAAATCACATTTTCGTGCACCTTGTTAAATCATCTTTTTGTGCACTGCGTTCACCCACACTGAGGTAAGCATACAGGACGTCTTCCAATTGTGCACTAGGTGGAGATTTCTCTCTGGTTTATTTGTGACCTAAAGGTGTCTACTAAAAGCAATTTTCCATTCTAGCCTTCTCAAGTCTGAGACACAGCATCTGAGGTGTTGGCCTCTGCCCACCACTCCCAGAGGTTCATCTGACCCACAACTCAGCTTAATTTAAAATTATGTCACATTGAAGGACTTGCAGTTTCCCAACCCCAACCTTTTGCCAGAGGGCATTTACACGCAGCTGCTCATCTGAAACCCCAAAGTCCTCACACCTTCTTTTGACTTCTCCTTTTGGTTAGATTGTCTTACTGCTATGGATGGAATTACTGTGCCCCCCCAAAATTCACATGTTGAACCCTAAATCCCCAATGTGATGATATTTGGAGGTGGGGCCTTGGGGAGGTAATTAGGTTATGAGGGTGGAACCTTCATGAATTGAATTAGTGCTTTTATAAGGGGATGAAGAGACCACAGCTTTCTCTACCATGTGAGGATACAAGGAGAAGATTGTTAAGCATTGAGAGAGCCTTTACCGAGAACCTGACCTGGAAACTCGATCTCAGACTTCCAACTACCAGAACTATGGGAAATAAATGTTTGATCTTTAAGCCACCCAATCTATAATTTGTGATAGCAATCTGAACTAAGCCATTCACCGTCTTTCTTTCATGTTAGCTACTCCAAGGCTTTTCATTTCTATGGGTATAGATGATTCTTGTTTACCTTAGCATTGCAAGTACTAACACAAGCCATCCAGAGTAGATGCTCAGTTATTATTTGGGGGAAAAAATAAACCCCTGAGAAAGAGGTCTAATTTATTATGATTTAATTTCTCCTACATTCTTGAATAAACTAAATATATCCAGGTATGTATATACAAATGGGTTTTACAAAAAACAAAACAAAACAAAACAAAAAGACTAAAAGTGGTAACTGAAACCAACAATTTACAGTCTTTTATTTTTTCTCCACTTTTGATTCCAACTATTACAATTCTGTGTCCTTTCACATTTCCAAAAAAAAAAAAAAAAAAAAAAAACCAAATTTACTGTCATAATATCTTGTTTCAAACAAGTAAAATGGAATGTTTCTAATTTGTTTCACAAAATAATAAAACTCTTACTCTTACATTCACAGCAATGTTTAAGTAATGTCATTCATAAACTTAGTTTCTAAAGTTACTCAAACCTTCTGATAATAGGAACAATATTTTGAAAAAACTATCCAGGAACTTATTACAGAACAAGAAAACAAACATGTTATACACTGTGTTGCCTCCAATCCCACCCTGACCTTCTACAGCTTAGAATGTGGACTTTTCCTTTCAACCACAAGGCAAAGAATGCCTTGAGTTCTACTAGGGGTGGGAGAATCTGCTAAGTATGGCCTGGGAACGTGCATTGGCCACAGCCTTAATGCGAGCCCTTGCTGCAAGTCTGGCTTGAGCTCGCTCTTCCTCATCTTTCAAAGCCTCTTCATACCAGGTTGGGAAGGCACTGGGGACAGTATCGTGGATCTTCGCTAAAAACTCTAGGACTTTCATCTTGGTGGTTTCTACATGAGCTCGTGGACCCCACAGAAACTGATAGCGTGGAGGATCACTGTTGGGCACTTGCTGATACTGCAGGTAATTTTCTCTCACAAAATCTTGAGTGATGATCTTCTTGGGCTCCCCAAAAATGAAGTGCCTCCTCCCCTCATATAACCCCATCACATTCAATACTTGCCAGATTTGTTCCTCAGTGGCACAATTACCATTTGTGAAGATCACACCCAGGATAGTCATCAGCAGGCCTGTCCGGGGCACACGTCTGTCATCACTCAACTTTGCATCATAGGTTGGTACCAGTTTGTTGATGAGGAAGTAGATGTGCCTATCTGGATCCACTTCCTTCAAGTCAAGTCCAAAGACCATCTCCAGGTGATCTGAAACTTTCCGTAGGATCTCACTGAAGTATCTCCTGGGAATTTGGACTATATCCCTCAGCATAGCTGCCTTTATAATAAGCTCTTTCATTTGATACTTGTACAGAAGGTAATGCACCAAAATAAACACCTTCTCATCTACAGGGCTTCTGGTCATGTGCTCATTGGCAGCCAGGGCCTGTGAGGATCTTGGCCTTTCCTCCGTTTGGTTGTTGATGCTTTCATTAGATCTTAAATATGAAACAGCTGCAGCAGTAGTAGTGGTGGATGTGGCTCTCTGAGGCCCGTGGGGATTGCTGGTTGTCTTGGGAGCAGTTGAGCTCTGGATGGCACTACTGAAATGAGCAGAGGAAGAGGAGGAAAATTCTATTCCCACTCTTGCAGTGGCTTGAGCATCCATCAGAGGCTCTGGCTCTTCTCGAGCCTGACGGCGTTTCTCACGGGCACGAAGCTTACTCTTTTGACCCCGAGGCATGATGACTTTAGACACAGTAGACACAAGTGAGCTCTGTGACCTAGAGGAAAGAGGATGAGATGGTTGGGTCACTTCAACTGGGAGACACCTCCGTGACTTTATTGAAGGCCGCCTCAGCAGTTTTCCTTGAAGTCACTGCTCTAGGAATCCCATAATGCTCCTATTCCCTGATCTGCTTGTTCCCTAGGAACCCTGTGGAATTAACTAAGGTATGACTTAGGTTGTCACTACTTGCCAGATATGCCTGGGACCTACTGGGATTTAGAGAACTGGCTCTGTTCTGGGGCAGGAGGTCTTTCTCTCAGTTCACATTAAGGATCATTATCTCACTTCTGTTATGACCTGGGGTCCCTCTGATCTACTACTTTGATGCTGACCCCTCACTTCTGTGATCCCAGAAGGTGAATTCAGGGAAACCTCATCTGACCACACCTGCCTGGAGACACAGAGACAGATGAAAGCACAGGCCAAGCTCTGTGGGACTCTCTATCCTGGGGTAATTAGTGTTCTCAGTCCTCACTTAGTGATTTCACCTTTGCTTTTGCTAAGGCCTGGGACTCCTCCCTCTGCTGACCTTAGAGTGATCTCCTCTGGGCAAAGCCTTCATATCCTTGAAAGCCCTAATGAGAATATTTGGCAGACCACAGCCTAATATATCTGCTCCAGGTTCACTCAGGTGTGAAGGTCTGAATAGGGCTCTGTGACCCCCTACTGTTCCGGGGTGGGTAGTCCTTTCAGTCCTTACTTAGTGTCCACACACAGACTTCTAGAAGACTATGGGTCTCTTCCCTCTAATGCCACCAAACTGCCCCTCTCAGACTAAAGACCTCATCTCCCTGATCACCCTCCCACCTAGCCCCTCACAAGTATAATGTGAGGGAGGGCCTTGCCCAAAGCCTCTCTGGGCTGACAGCAGGGGTGGGGCTTTGTGAAGTTCCCTTTGTTAGGGGTGGGTGGTTCCCTGAGACCTCACTCAATATTCTCACTTTAACCCCTAACAGGGTCTGGGAATCATCCTGCTACTGACTGGACATCACTCTGCTCCCATTCCAAGGCATTCACTTCCCTGAGACACCAGAGGCAGAAGTCAGGGTTCCTTGCATCAATCCACCTTCATTCACCTTAGCTTTTCAGGACTGAGAGTATGACGAGGGCTCTGTGAGACCCCTCTGTGCTCAGGGCTTCGGAGGTCCGCTCAGACCTCATTCAGGGTCTTCCCCTTCACTCCTATTAGAGCCTGGGAACTCGCCCTCTGCTGGTCTGAAGCCCGCATCCTGGTCCAATACCCTCACTGGCTCAGTCTCCTGGGGGGGGGGGGGGGCATTTAGAAGGTACTCAGAGGTCGCTACATCCCACGATTCCTGTCTTTGCTCTATCAGAGCTGAAAGCAGGGGAATAACTCTCTGGGAGCCCCTCTAGTCTGGGGTGGGTGGTCCCCTCACACCTAACACCGGGTCTTTACTTTAATTGTAGACAGGGCTCAAAGCTCCTACCTCGACTGATATGAGTGATGCTACCCGCCCTCACCCCAACACTTCCCTCAAACACCGCAGGAGAAAGTCCGTGTGCCTCAGGTCCTTCCGCCCCCATCTGGGGCCTTCCCAAGGTTGACTGCAAGGGCTGGACTCTGCAAAGCCCCTCTGTTCTGAAAACCGGGCAGAAGAAGGGGACTCCCTTTATTCCCGTTCTTTCAGGGTCTTTGCCTTTACTCCTGCTAGGGCCTGGGAACTCTCCTTCTGCTGGTCTGAAGCCCACCCTCTAGTCCAATACCCTCACTCGCCCAGTCTCCTCAGTCCAATACCCTTACCCGCCCAGTCTCCTCAGTCCGATACCCTCACCCGCCCAGTCTCCTGAGTCAGACACCCTCACCCGCCCAGTCTCCTCAGTACCATACCCTCACCCGCCCAGTCTCCTCAGTCAGACACGCTCACGCGTCCAGTCTCCTCAGTCCGACATCCTCACCCGCCCAGTCTCCTCAGTCAGACACCCTCACCCGCCCAGTCTCCTTAGTCCGACACCCTCACCCGCCCAGTCTCCTCAGTCAGACACGCTCACCCGTCCAGTCTCCTCACTCCGATACCCTCACCCGCCCAGTCTCCTCAGTCAGACACCCTCACGCGTCCAGTCTCCTCAGTCCGATACCCTGATGCGTCCAGTCTCCTCAGTCCGATACACTCACCCGCCCAGTCTCCTCAGTCCGATACCCTCACCCGCCCAGTCTCCTCAGTCAGACACCCTCACCCGCCCAGTCTCCTCAGTCACACACCCTCACCCGTCCAGTCTCCTCAGTCAGACACTCTCACCTGCCCAGTCTCCTCAGTCCGATACCCTCACCCGCCCAGTCTCCTCAGTCAGACATCTTCATCCGCCCAGTCTCCTCAGTCCCATACCCTCACCCGTCCAGTCGTCTCCTCAGTCCGATACCCTCACCCGTCCAGTCTCATCAGCCAGACACCCTCACCCGTCCAGTCTCCTCAGTCGGACACCCTCAGCCGCCCAGTCTCCTCAGTCCGATACCCTCACCCGCCCAGTCTCCTCAGTCCGATACCCTCACCCGCCCAGTCTCCTCAGTCCGAAACCCTCACCCGCCCAGTCTCCTCAGCCAGACACCCTCACCCGCCCAGTCTCCTTAGTCCGATACCCTCACCCGTCCAGTCTCCTCAGTCAGACACGCTCCCGCGTCCAGTCTCCTCAGTCCGACATCCTCACCCGCCCAGTCTCCTCAGTCCGACATCCTCACCCGCCCAGTCTCCTCAGTCCGATACCCTCACCCGCCCAGTCTCCTCAGTCCGATACCCTCACCCACCCAGTCTCCTCAGTCCGATACCCTCAACCGACCAGTCTCCTCAGTCATACAGCCTCACCCGCCCAGTCTCCTCAGTCCGAAACCCTCACCCGCCCAGTCTCCTCAGTCAGACACTCTCACCCGCCCAGTCTCCTTAGTCCAATACCCTCACCAGTCCAGTCTCCTCAGTCAGACACGCTCCCGTGTCCAGTCTCCTCAGTCCCACACCCTCACCCGCCCAGTCTACTCAGTCAGACACCTTCACCCGCCCAGTCTCCTCAGTCCGATACCCTCACCCACCCAGTCTCCTCAGTCAGACACTCTCACCCGCCCAGTCTCCTTAGTCCGATACCCTCACCCGCCCAGTCCTCCTCAGTCAGACACGCTCCCGCGTCCAGTCTCCTCAGTCCGACATCCTCACCCGCCCAGTCTCCTCAGTCAGACATCCTCACCCGCACAGTCTCCTCAGACACCCACACCCGCCCAGTCTCCTCAGTCTGATACCCTCACCCGCCCAGTCTCCTCAGTCCGATACCCTCACCCGCCCAGTCTCCTCAGTCCGACATCCTCACCCGCACAGTCTCCTCAGTCAGACATCCTCACCCGCACAGTCTCCTCAGACACCCACACCCGCCCAGTCTCCTCAGTCAGACACGCTCACGCGTCCAGTCTCCTCAATCCGACATCCTCACCCGCACAGTCTCCTCAGACACCCACACCCGCCCAGTCTCCTCAGTCTGATACCCTCACCCGCCCAGTCTCCTCAGTCCGATACCCTCACCCGCCCAGTCTCCTCAGTCCGATACCCTCACCCGCCCAGTCTCCTCAGTCCGACATCCTCACCCGCCCAGTCTTCTCAGTCCCATACCCTCACCCGTCCAGTCTCCTCAGTCAGACACTCTCACCCGCCCAGTCTCCTCAGTCCGATACCCTCACCCGCCCAGTGTCCTCAGTCAGACACTCTCACCCGCCCAGTCTCCTCAGTCCGATACCCTCACCCGCCCAGTCGCCTCAGTCAGACACCCTCACCCGCCCAGTCTCCTCAGTCCGATACCCTCACCCGCCCAGTCTCCTCAGTCAGATACGCTCCCGCGTCCAGTCTCCTCAGTCGGACATCCTCACCCGCCCAATCTCCTCAGTCGGACATCCTCACCCGCCCAATCTCCTCAGTCAGACATCCTCACCCGCACAGTTTCCTCAGTCAGACACCCACACCCGCCCAGTCTCCTCAGTCCGATACCCTCACCCGCCCAGTCTCCTCAGTCCGACACCCTCACCCGCCCAGTCTCCTCAGTCCGACATCCTCACCCGCCCAGTCTCCTCAGTCCGACACTCTCACCCGCCCAGTCTCCTCAGTCCGACACCCTCACCCGCCCAGTCTCCTCAGTCCGACATCCTCACCCGCCCAGTCTCCTCAGTCCGACATCCTCACCCGCCCAGTCTCCTCAGTCCGATACCCTCACCCGCCCAGTCTCCTCAGTCCGATACCCTCACCCGCCCAGTCTTCTCAGTGAGACACCCTCACCCGCCCAGTCTCCTCAGTCCGATACCCTCACCCGCCCAGTCTCCTCAGTCAGACACCCTCACCCGCCCAGTCTCCTCAGTCCGATACCCTCACCCGCCCAGTCTCCTCAGTCAGACACCCTCACCAGCCCAGTCTCCTCAGTCAGACATCCTCACCCGCCCAGTCTCCTCAGTCCCATACCCTCACCCGCCCAGTCTCCTCAGTCAGACAGCCTCACCCGCCCAGTCTCCTCAGTCAGACACGCTCACGCGTCCAGTCTCCTCAGTCCGACATGCTCACCCGCCCAGTCTCCTCAGTCAGACACCCACACCCGCCCAGTCTCCTCAGTCCGATACCCTCACCCGCCCAGTCTCCTCAGTCCGATACCGTCACCTGCCCAGTCTCCTCAGTCAGACACCCTCACCCGCCCAGTCTCCTCAGTCCGATACCCTCACCCGTCCAGTCTCCTCAGTCCGATAACCTCACCCGCCCAGTCTCCTCACTCAGACACCCTCACCCGCCCAGTCTCCTCAGGGACTATTTAAAAGGTATTCGGGGGTCGCTACATCAGAGATTCCTGTCTGGGCTTTATCGGAGCTGAAAGCAGGGGCGGAATTCTGTCAGAGCCCCTTTAGTCTGGAGTGGGTGGTCCCCCACACCTAACTCAGGGTCCTTACTTAATTTCAGCCACGGTCTGGAACTCCTCCCTCAGGCGACTGGACACCAGCGCTCTCAGACAGACGCTTTCACTTCCTGCGACCCCACGGCCGGATATCGGGGTGCAAACACTTCCGGGAAAGATTATTTGGGGGTTTCCGGGGCTGGCACTGAGGCTAGGCCCTGTGGGATTGATAACTGTTCTGTGTTTCGCGGTTCACTTAGAACTCACATAGGGGCTTTTTAGTGACTCCAGGCCAGGTCGCCTTCTGGTTACCAAGTTAACCAGCCTTAAAACCAGCGTCTTACTCACATCACCCTCGTTTCCAGAAGGCTAAGTGAAGGGGTTCCTGAGCCTCACAGCCATACCAGAGCCTCCCAGAACTGACAGCAGAAGCCAGCCACTGTGCTGTCAGTCTGTTTTCAGTGGGCAGTTTCCTCAGAAACATACACAGAATCCTCGCCGTTACTTCTGTTAGGTTTAGGATTCCTCCTTCTGCTGGCCTGGATCTGACACAGCGATCCACAGTTTTCACTTCACAGTTTTAGATTTTATTACATTTACTACAGATCAGAGACTTTTTTCTTTGTTTTGTTTTGTTTTGAGACGGAGTCTCGCTGTGTCGTCCAGGCTGGGCGCAGTGGCGTGATCTCGGCTCACCGCAACCTCCTCCTCCAGGGTTCAAGTGATTCTCCCGCCTCAGCCTCCCGAGTGGCTGGGATTACAGGCACGTGCCACCACGCCCGGTCAATTTTTGTATTTTTGTAGATATGGAGTTTCACCATGTTGGCCTAGCCAGTCTCGAGCTCCTGACCTCAGGTGATCCGCCCACCCTGGCTTCCCAAGGTGCTAGTATTACAGGTGTGAGTCACCTTGCCTGGCCCAGGTGATGACATTTTGAGAGTGGCTAGTACAGAAAGTATTTGTTTGTTTTCGATTTATTCAGGTTGGGGTAATTACAATAACAAAGAGATATCTTTGTGTCTCACATATACTTGTCACCCCCAGTCAATTTAACATCATTTACACTGCTTCTCCATTCACCCTGGAAATGTTTGCATAGCAGATCAGCCCCCTACACCACTTGGTATCTGGTGGGAAAAGGCCACCAAACACAGCTGAAGGATATATTTCTTCTGGTGTAAAAAGAAGGCAGGAAAAGTGAGAGGCAATCTGAGCTAGGGATAACATGTGGATCCTTTTTCAAGACATGTCCACATTCAACCTTTTACTTATAGAGGCAGTGAAGTCTCAGAGAACTCCCCCTCCAGTTTCTTTTTCCTTGCAGTGACACACTCTGTGCCACTACTTATTGGTACTACTCGCCCTGTTTTAACTGTCTAATCGCCAATCCCACCCACTTGTACAGCTTCCTATCCACTTGTAGCAGGGTTGAGAGCTGCCTTGATGACTGATAAGAGATTGTAGCTTCCCTTACAAGATATAATCTTTCTTATTCTCACTGGAAGGGGTGCACTGAACCACCATAGTAGTGAAGAGAGCTTTCCTAGAATCAATTAATATAATCACTGGGTGATGCAAGGGAGTAAGTCATACCCTGCCTGAGAAGTGGGAAGGGGAAAGTCTAATAGAGCATGCCTCTTGGCCTTTCATCCAATAGATCTGCCTACTCAGATCACCCTACAATTTCATGCTGGTAATGATTCAGAGATTGCCAAGCCTATTCATAAAAGTTGTCCAACACACCACCAGTTTCCTCACCTTCACTCCTTCTGGTCCCATTGCTATCCCATGCTGAACTCTGGATACAGATCCCAGACCACTCCCTACCCTGAGTTCTCTGGACTTGGTTTAGCTTGTGATCTCTCTCATGGGTTCTGAAAATTGTTCTAGTCCCCGGTTTTCTTGATGTTCTTCACTAACTGAGGTTTTTCTGTCAGGGCACATTTTCTGGACCCTGGTCATACTAACCAAGTTCTTTCTTCTCAAAGTGAAGACAAAAGTTTTCTTGACATATGAGAATTTTAAAGCAAATGCCCAGAGAAATCTCAGTGCTCAAGACATCACTACCGATGTCTCACTTTGGATGAGGGATTAAGTTCATTTTCTGTTCAACCTACTTAGAAAATGGAAATTAAAATTGAAATAGCAGTGAAACAATACAACTTGGCTAAACATTTATCCCAAGTTTAAAATTTATCAAATAAAATACCCATGAGAGTATACAACATTTTTGGAATGAAAGTTTAGTAGTATTCAAAAAATTGACAATCATCACATTCTTTACACTTTAACTGAATTTATACTTTTCTACGTCTTTCCTGTAATAAAATATCTACATTTACCCAAGAAGTCATGTTCAGTAATGTTTATTTCAATCTTATTAGTCATAGCAATAAATGGAAAACACCTTATACATCCATCAGTAGAAGAATTGTTAATTATGATACATATGTCCTTTGAAATTCTTGGTAGTAGCTTAAACAGTGAGGTGGATCTATACGTGCTCTCATGGAAAGTTCCTGCATCCATTTTATTTAGTGACAAATGCAACAGGTACAACAAAATGTGCATCAGTATATATATATATGTTAAAAGTTCACAATATATTTTCCTACCACATGTATGTAAGAAAAAAGCCTAGAATATACATAAAAATAAAAGAGTCAAGGTTTTTAATGGTGGTTACTTCTGGTAGGGAATAGATTTTGGAGGAACAGAGTAAGGGAGCAGAATTGTGATTTATCCATAGTGTTAGAATTTTCTTAAGCATCAAGAATATTTGAGTAATTAATATATTTGAGTAAAACTAACAACAGAAATAGGAGCTGTGCAATATTCTAATAGTCACTGCTAGTGGATGTAATGGAAGAAGCCTGAAATTCTAAAGTCTTAGCACAACAAAAGTTAATTTTCACACCCATAAAATCTGATGTGAGTTAACAGGGGGTCTTCACTGTCAGAGGACCCAGGAATCCAGGCTACTTCCATCATGTGGCACCACATCTCATCATGAGAGCTCCACGTTTGCTGCTGAATAGAACTGACATACCGACTCTCAAATGCCTTGGCCTGAAAATGACAAGCATAGCTTCTGTTTATATTTCAGTGGCCCTTTCTAACAACAAATGGACTGGGGAATACAGTCTCCCCATGTGCCCAGGAAGGACAGCAAAACAAGTGGATGGAAACTTGGAGTCTCTCCCACAATCTATTACCTATTAGATGCTCAATAAAAAGCAAATACGAAACTTTGTTTTGACAACAACCTCTATTCTTGGAAAAGTTTCTAAGAAGGCCAAAATTGCCTTGCAATTTGGGAAATTTTTCTAGTGTGTACCATGTGACAGTCATTTTCAAACGTAGGATCACACCAATTTTCTAAAGAGCCATGAAAATCTCAGCAAGGATGATCCTTTGTCTCTCATCACTAAATAGTACCTTTCTCTACTGACCTTTGCAATAATCTCAAAATATGGAGGATGTTATTCTTCCTTTTAGTGCATGGTCTAAATAATACCTTGGGAGTCTCTGCTACCACCTGATTAACACACCTAAACACTTGTGCAGTGTGTCTTTACACACACTGAAAAGTAGGATTTTCCCCTGGGGCAGATAGAAACAAAAGTCAGGAGAATTATGGTGAATTAATTTTATTCTTTTCTTATCAAAGCACTGCCAAAGACACATTGTCTACATTAATAGTAGGCTGAATAATTGCTCCACAAAGATGGTTATACCCTTATCCTTGAAAAATGAATGTGCTTTGTTATATGACCAAAGGCACTTTGCAGAAGCATTAAGGTTATGAAACTGAACTTAAAATAAAAATATTACACTAGGTTATTCAGGTAAGTCTGATATCATGACATGAGAATTCACAAGCAGAGAACTTTCTCTGGCTGGAGGCAGAAGAGAGATGCAGCAGAGGGGAAGTTAGAGAGATCACAAGTGTGAGAAGAATTCAACCTACAAGTGTTGACTCAAAATGTATGAGCCCACATTCAAGGACTGGAGAGAGGCCTGCCAGCTCCAGCTGACGGTCAGCTAGGAAACAGGACCTCAATCTTATTACCACAAAGAACTGGATTCTGTCAACAACCTGAATGAGTTCAGAAGAAGAATCTTCTCAGAGTCTCATAAGAAGACTGCCAGCTGAAAGCTTGATTTGAACCTTGTGAAAATTTGAGTATAGAATCTAGCAGAACCATTCCATCCTTCACACGTACAGAAACGCAGACAATAAACCCTACAAAGATAATAAACGTGTGCTGTTGTAAACCACTACATTTGTGGTAATCTGTTACAGCTACCATAGAAAACTATTACAACTTTCTGGAAAGACTACAGAATTTATAAGAATTCACTCTCTTCAGATGGTTGCTACACAGTTATTTCCTTGGTCTTTCTTCACTGAACACCTAGGAGGGAAGCTTTGAGTTTTGGCGCTTAGTTGAGCTCATTCATCAGTGTATAGATTCAGTAGCAACATTCAAAAAGTCACCAGATTAAAACCTCTTCTTTTTCTAATCTCACCTGCTTTCTAAAACCTCTTCTCTACTTCAGGATTATATCTCTGCTTCAGGATAAAGTATCAGTTGATTCTATCCCAAATCAAACTCTCCTCACCAGCAGATTTGAAAGCACTTTGAGTGTGGTGGAGGCACCCAGGGATGAATAGGTGTCTAAGCTTCACTATTTGAAGTGAACAATTACATAGAATGGGCTGTTGCTGTTAGGGGGAATTCAAGGTGAGGGGTGGGGTTTCTAGGGAGTTGGAAGTCTCTATGTCCAGGAGAAGGCAGGCAAGTCTGGGCTGTCTATTCCTCTGGAGCAAGTGCAGGCTCCAGAGAAGGACACAGTAAAGCTGGCCAGCAGATCAGTTCCAGTTCAGACAGAAGGGCACAGTGGGGAAGATCCAGGGGAAGGGCACGGTAATGTGGGAAAGTGCTGGACTGAACCCATGTGAAGGGACCAGGGCAGAGTCAGCTCCGGAACAATCTGGGCTAAAGGTGGGAGGACTCCAGGCCAATGAACCCCACAGACAGTCCCAGATTGTGTCTCATTCTCATTCTGCCTTCCATTTTAGGGCCTGCTTTTAGTGCTTTGGCGACAGGGTCTTTCTTTTCTTTGTCTGAGAGACATTGTGGAGTAGTGAGAAGTGAAATGAATTAATAGCCCTAAGATCTGCTTCAGGCTGAGAGGAGTGGAATAGTGTGGGCTGTAGAGGAATTCAGACTAGGAGGTCTCAACTCAGCCTTGTCACTTATATGTGAACTCGAAAATTCTATGAGCCTCAAGTTCTTTGTGAAGTGGGCTTGATGAAGTCATTTTGTTCTTTGGCTAGCATATACCTTGTGAAGTCTGACTTTTAGAATGTAAGTTATTTGTGTAGGGCAGCTGGCACAGTGTTAGTGTGTGCTGGGTTTTTGATAACTAACAGTTGTTTCTATTATGTTTTAGATTGCTAACACTACCAACCTTTCCCTCTTGGAAATTTTTAATTTATTTTTCATCCTGGAGATGTTAATATGCAGCCCTCTAGGACATGGAAAACCAAAGCAATCAAAATGCTTCTTACCAAGAGAACGTTACTTACTTGATAAGAAACTTTTTGAGGATATACATTTTTTATATTGTGTGTTGGGAGAATCTTCCCCAGCTAGATGCAGCTCAACTAGATGCTCCTAGAAAATGTGTCAAGGACTTCCTCATTCACTCCCATCAAAACACCTATCCCTTGCTTTGAGTTTGCCAAATTACACTCAAGATAACCTAGTCTAAACACCCTATTAATGGAATGGACTCTGCCATGATATGAATGTGTCTCCCAAAAAGGCAACTGTTAGACACTTAATCCCCAATCCAATAGTATCGTGAGGTAGGGCCTGATGAGAAGTAATCAGGCCGTGAGAGATCTGCCCTTATAAATGGATTAATACCTTTATCACAAGAGTGGGTTTGTTTCGAAAAGTATGTTTGGTCCCTTTTTCTCTCGCTTTCCCTTTCTTACTACCTCACTTTCTGCCATGGGATGGCCCAGCAAGACATCCCTCCCTTGATGCCACCAAACGCCTTGATCTTGGAACTTCCCAGCCTCCACTACTGTGAAAAAAATTCTTTTCCTTAAAAGTAACCCAGTCTCTGGCATTCTATTATAGCAACATAAAATAAAATAACACAGGCTCTGTCTTTCCAAGGCCAGAGCAAAGAGTGCCAGTAAAGTGGCTTCTGAGCATCCCATGTTAAGACAGTATTTTTCTCAGAAACTTGCTGGAGATGATGTGCATAGAACACGTGGTTTGTGGTCAATTGCACTGGAGTTAGGAGAGCACAGGAAACCTTTCATTCCTGCCCCAGGTGAAGATTTCTTTCTGGTTTATCCATGAGCCCAAGCAACTGCTATAATTACTTGTCCATTCCAGACCTTAAGTCTTTCAACCCTGAACATGTCTTCAGAGAGGATGGCCACTGCTCACCACTCTCAGAGCCTCATCTTACCAACCAAGCACAGTGGCTCACACCTGTAATCCCAGCACTTTGGGAGGCAGAGGCAGGCAGATTGCTTGAGTCCAGGAGTTGGAGAACAGCCTGGGCCACATGGCGAAACCCTATCTCTACTAAAAATGTAAAAAAATTAACCAGGCACAATGGCGTGCACGTGTAGTCTCAGCTACTCTGGAGGCTGAGGTAGGAGAATCACCTGAGCCTAGGAAGTTGAGGCTGCAGTGAGTTGTGATCCCATCACTGCACTTTAGCCTGGGTGACAAGAGTGAGGAAAAAAAAAAAAAAAAACCTCCAATCCCACTTGCCTTAAGATATTTACATTTGATGCTCTCATCTAGACAACCCTCCCCCTACATTCTCACTTTCTTTGACTTGTCCTTTAGGTCTTAGTAGGTATCTCACCATATTCCTTATGTAATATCTACCCCTAGATTCTAAAATCCAGTGGGCACAGGTAGATCTTCCTTATCCTGACATCCTAGCACAAGGCCTTCCAAAGAGCAGATGCTCAATTAATGTTTGAGGAATAAATGAACCAGTGGGCAAAAGGCCTAATTTATTACAATGTAATTATATATTCTTGAATAATGTAAGCATATCCTGGCATATATATCTTAATTTTACATAACAACAGAATAAAAGTCAATAGGGAATGTAATAATTAGCCATCTTTTACTCTTTTCTCTATTTCTTTTCTTTTTTTTTTGAGATGGAGTCTCACTCTGTCACCCAGGCTGGAGTGCAGTGGCGTGATCTCAGCTCACTGCAAGCTCCGCCTCCCGGGTTCACGTCATTTTCCTGCCTCAGCCTCCTGAGTAGATGGGACTACAGGAGCCCGCCACCACGCCTGGCTAATTTTTTGTATTTTTAGTAGAGACGGGGTTTCACTGTGTTAGCCAAGATGGTCTCGATCTCCTGACCTCGTGATCTGCCTGCCTCGGCTTCCCAAAGTGCTGGGATTACAGGTGTGAGCCACCGCACCTGGCCCTCCTTTCTCTATTTCTTGATCCCATTTATTAAACTCCTAAATTATTTCACATTGAATTAGGAAATGCCCAATTTACTACCATGCTATCATGTTTCGATCACTAAATAAATGGAGAGTTTCCCAATTTGATTTATAAAGCAATACATCGCTTACTCTTAATCTCACATACAGCAAAATTTGAGCAATGTCATTCACAAACTTAGATAATGAAGCTACTTTAACCATCTATTAAAGGAACATCATCTTTAAAAAATTCCAAGTCATCACATAGAACATTAACACAAACATGTTATTCACCTTGTTGTCTCCAGTCCCACCCTGACCTCCCACAGCTCAGAATGTGGATTTCTTTTCAAACACAAAGTGAAGAATCTGCCTCAGACTTTACTGCAGTTGGGAGGAGTTGCTGGACTTAACCTTGGAACGTGCACCGGCCGTGGCACTAATGCGAGCCTTGGCTGCAACTCTGGCTCTGGCTCTCTCTTCCTCATCTTGCAAAGCCTCTGTATACCAGGTTGAGAATTCACTGGGAACTGTATTATTTACCTTGGCCAAAAACTCAAGAACTTTCATCTTGCTGGTTTCGGCATGGGCTCTTGGGCCCCATAGGAATTGATAGCGTGGAGGATCACTGTTGGGCACTTGCTGGTACTCCAGGTAATTTTCTTTCACCAAATCTTTGGTAAGGAGCTTCCTGGGCTCCCCAAAAATGAAGTGCTCAATTCCATCATATAACCCCATCATATTAAACACTTTCCAGATTTCCTCCTCAGCAGCACAATTACCCTTTGTGAAGATAATACCCAGGACAGTCATCAGCAGGCCAGTCTTGGGCACGCTTGTTTCATCACTCAGCCTTGCATCACAGTCTAGATCTAGTTTGTTGATCAGGACATAGATGTGCTTATTAGGCTCCACTTCCTTCAGGTCAAGACCAAAGATCAGCTCTAGGTGCTCAGAAGCTCTCCTCAGGATTACGGGGAACTGGCTCTTGCACATATGGGTCACATTTCTCAGCATATCTGCCTTTGTAATGGGCTCTTTCATTTGGTACTTGTACAGCAAGTAATGCACCAACATAATTACTTTCTCACCTAGAGGGCCTCTGGGAAAGTTATCAGTGGCTGCTAGATCTTGTGTGCATCTTGGCCTTTCTTCCATTTGGTCGTTGACTCCTTCGGTATGTCTTGTGTGTGAAGCAGCTGTAGCAGATGTGCTGATGGATAGGGCTTCCCAAAGTCCATGGGGATTGTTGGCTGTCCCATCAAGTGAACTCTGGGAAACATCCTTCAAACAAGAAGAAGGGGAGGGGGGGTATTCTTCCTCCTCTTCTAAAATGGCCAGAGCATCTATCAAATCTTCCAGCCCTCCTCGGGCCTGACGGCGTTTTTCCCTGGCACGGAGTTTACTCTTCTGACCTCGAGGCATGATGACTCCGTTCAGGTGCAGCAGCCAAAAGGGCAGGTGATCCCGTGACCTGAAGGAGAGAAGATAAAATGGGGTGTGCCCATTCAGCAGAGAGATACAATTTTAGCTTTACTGATGGCCACCTCTGCAAGTTTTCTTGGTGCATTACTCAAGGAAAAACAAGGCCCCTATTCTTTGATTTCCCTGCCCCCTGAGTACTCTGTGAAATAACTAGGGTGTGTTTTAGGTTGCCACTTGCCAGACCTGCCTGGGGCTTACTGGGTGATGACAGCCAGGCCTGGCAGGTCCAGGCTTTGTGGAGGCCCCTTTGTTCTTGGGTAGGGACTCTTTTCTCAGTTCACATTCAGAACTGTCCTCTTGATTTCTGGTAGGTTCTGGGATCCCTCTACTTGACTGACCCCTCATTTCAGTCCCCTCATTTCCCTGCTACCCTGGTGGAGAAACTGAAAGAGAAACTCATCTGATCACACCTGCCTGAGGACATCTAGGATGACTACAACAGAAAAACTCTGAGGGACCTTCTGTATTCTGGGATCCTTAGTGTTCTCATTCTTCACTCAGGGTTTTCACCTTGGCTTCTACTAGGGTCTGAGACTTCACCCTGTGATGACCTGAGACCTATCCCCTCAGAGCAAGGCCCTCAGATCTCTGAGTTACGAAAGGATAAAGTCAGCCTAACATATCTACCCCACAGTCCCTCAGGGTTGACAGCACAGATGGAACTCTGTGCTGTCCCCTTTTGATCTGGGGTGGATGGCTCCCTCAGAACTCTGGATTCTTTTTAGTCTTCTTAGGGCTTGGGACTCCTCCTCTGCTGACCAGAAGCTGGCACTCTGGTCCAGTGCCCTCCTCTCCCTGAGTTCTCACCAGAATTCAGAAGGTGCTTCATCAGGCCCTGTCCTGGACCTGTCATGAATCCATGGGGCCCGTCTTTTGGAGTGGAAGTCCCCCTCAAACTTCACTCAAGATCTTTGTATCCCCTTTTGGCAAGGCCTGGAAATAGCTCCTCTGACAACCTAAACCTCTTTACTTCTTTGAGAAAGCAGTAATGGAATTCAGAAAGTGTCACAATAGCCACTCCTACCTGGGGCCTCCCTGGGCTGAGAGCAGGGGCAGACTCTGTTATGAACCCCTCTCTTTTGTGGTGGGTGGTTCCTTCTGATCTCACTCAGTTTCCTCACCTTTACTTCTGTTGGGGCCTGGGACTCTTCCATCTGCTGGCCTGAGGCCATAACCTTGGTCCAATGCTGTCCTCTCCTTGAATTTCCAAAGAGGGAATTCAGAGGGTGCTATATAAGAGGTTTTTGCCCAAGGTTGGCTACCACTAACAGCAAGAGCATGGCTATTACCCTTACACCTCACAAAGGGTTTTTATCTTAACTCCTAGGAGGGCCTGGGACTCCTCCTTCTGCTGATTTAACACCTCCCTCTGGCACCAGTTTTTTAACTTCCCTAAAACTCCAGAGGTGGAACTCAGAGAATGTTATATCTGGCCACTCCATTCATGGGCTTCTCAGGCCTGACAGCAGGAGCCTAGATGTTGTGGGGCCCTTCTGATCTGGTGTGAATAGTTGCCTCAAATATTAGGGTCTTCACCATCACTGTTGGAAGGTCTGGAACCCTGCTCTCTACTGGTCTGATGCCAAAGCGTGGTTCAATGCTGTCACCTCCCAGGATCCTGGGAATTCAAAGGGCACTACATCAGAGGATCCCTGTCCAGGGCCTCCCAGGGCTTACACAGGGCTGGGATTCTGTTGGCCCTTCTCTCTTCTGGTATAAATAGTGTCCTCAGATCTCACTTAAGGTTGTTAACTCCTGACAGGACCTGGAAATCTCTGGAACTCTCTTTTCTGCTGATTTGAGGCTACCCTGCTCAGACTAATGCCTTCATTCTTCTGAGAAGTTAGAGTCAGAAGTTGGGGAAGCCAATTCTAGCCACCCCCATATGGGACCTAGTGCTGAGAGCAGGGGTGCAGCTCTTAGAAGTAAGGGGGTGGCTTGTGTTTTGTGGGAATGGGGAATTCTGACAGAAGTTGCATAGTGGTCTTTCATTGACTCCGGGGGACGTATGACTCCTCCTCCTCCTGTTCTGAGTTATTCGGCTTTAAAAAAAAAGCCTCGTCCCCAACCACCTCACCCCACAGTCCTATATCCCTGGACTACAGAGGGTGAACTGAGGAGGCTTCTGGGCCTAACATCAAGGCATTGGCTTAGAAACATTAACAGCAGGGGTGGTCTCTGTGCTGAGCAGTCTGTTATGGAGTGGGTGACTCTTTCAAAACTTCATCAGGGTCTTCATTTTTATTCCTTTTAGTCTGGGACTCCTCCCTCTGTGGATCTGAGAATAACACCTGGCCCAATGCCCCTACCTCACAGTGAGAAGTGATGTAAATTTTACTACAGATCATCTGATAACTTTGCAAATGGCTAGTGCAGAATCACCTTTATAAAAATTTTCAGTTGATTGGAATCAAGTCAGGGTTATAACAGTAATGAAGATAGAGGTTTGGACTCAACCTATACTTGTTACCTGCAGTCAATTCAATAAGGAACTGCAGCATCTACAATGGTTCTCCATCTACTCTGGAAATACTTGCCTTGAAAACCAGCACCCTACAACAGTGTTTGGTGGCAACAAAGGCCACCAGACACAGCAACAAAAAATCCACTCTCTGTTCTGCAAAGAAGTCAGTGATGGTAGGAAGTATTTGGAGCTGGGGATAATATCTGGACCCTTTTTTAAAGACATATGCACACTCAGCCATTTAGTTACAGAGTCATTGAGGTAGTTAGTCTCAGGAAATCCCTCCTCCAATTCCCCCCTCCTTGAATCTACACTATGCCACTACTCATTGGTACTACTTGCCCTGTTTTAAATGTCATTAATCATCAATCACATCCATTTGCACAGCTTCAACCTCAGTGGTGGGAGGGCCACATACTCAAGGGGGCCACATACCCAAGGGCCACATACACTCTTTCTTATCAGGCATCAAGACAACTCTCAACCCTGCTACACTGGAAAGGGTGCAATGAACCACCAGAGTATTGAAGAGATGTAGCTCTCCCAGAATCAATTAATATCATAACTGGGTGATGCAGGGGAGCAAGCCACACTCTGCCTGAGAAGTCGGAAGGGAAGACTCTAGCAGAGCATGCCTCTGGACAGCTCAGCCTACAACTTCATGCTGATAATGATGATTCAGAGATTGCCAAGCCTATTCAGAAAAGTTGTCCAAGACACCACCAGTTTCCTCACCTTTACTCCTTCTGGTCCCATTGCTACCCCATGGCTGAACTCTGGATACAGATCCCTGACTACCTCATGCCCTGAATTCTCTGGACTTTATTCAGCTTATGATCTCTATTGTGGATTCTGGAAATTGTTCTAGTGCCTAGTTTTCCTAATGTCCTTTACTAATTGAGGTTTTCTTGTTAAGGCACATTTCCTAGAACCTTGTCATTCCGAGTAAATCCTTTCTTCTCAAAGTAAAAAGAAATGTGTTATTGAAATATCAAAATTCTAAGGCATATCGTGGAGCAATATGTAAACAGTTATCCTTAGGTGCATATTGTGGAGCAATATGTAAACAGTTATCAATGTAAATTTAAAACTCACAATGACCAGGCACGGTGGCTCCCAACTGTACTCCTAGCTACTTGAAAGGCTGAGGCGGGAGGATTGCTTGAGTTCAGGACTTCTAGGCTGTACTGAGTTATGATCACACCACTGCACTCCAGTCTGGGCAACAGAGCGAGGCACCGTCTCTAAAAAAAAAAAAAAAATAAATAAGTAAATAAAAATTAAGAAGAAAAAAGAGGAGACAAAACAAACAAAAAAACCCTCACAGTGTATTTTTGTTGCACATGTATATAAGAAAAAGCCTATAATACATTTAGAAATACTACATGCAGGATTTAAAAAATGTGGTTACATTTGAGGAAGGATTGAATTTTGGAGGGACATAGTAAGGAAGTGAAATTTTGATTTATCCATATTAGAATTTTTGGCAACAAGAATACGTGCACTATTTTCTTGGTAGTTAAAATATTTAAATAATAATAACAATGGAATTAGTAGTTGTGTATTATACAGAAAAAGTATGTATGAGATGCAATGGGAAAAGGCTGAAATCTGAATGGCTTAACACACTAAAAGTTTATCTCTTATGCAAATAAATTTTGACATGAATTAATAGGGGTTTTTTGCTGTCAGGTGTCCCAGGGATCCATGCTGCTTCTATACTGTGGCTCCATATCTCAGCATGGAAGAGAAATCATGGAGGTGGCAGACTGGCTCTCAAACACTTTGATCTGAAAGGGAAAAAGCATGCTACTGTTCATATTTCAGTGTCAAGGGGGGGTAGTCACATGACCTTTCCAAACTACAAGTGGACTGGCAATGTAGTCTCCATATGAACCAAGGATGGAAAGCAAGACACAAAGTGGATGAGCACTTGCAGTCTGTCCAATTAACTATTACAATAGTACATGCTCAATAAAAGCTACTAATATAAATTTGTTATGACAACAGCCTTCTTAAGTCTTGGAGGAGTTTCTGAGAATATCAAATATCTTTGCTAAACAACATTTCCTAATGTCTATATGTGACATGTAATTTCAAATCCAGAATCACACTAATTTTCAAAACAATCCTGTAAATCTCAGCAAGGAGGGTTCACCCCGCTGCACTCAACAACACCTTTCTGCACTGACCTTTTCAATGACCTCTGTGATCTCAAGAGACTGAAAAATTTCTTCTTCCTTTTGATGAAAACATAACTTGTGAGTCTCTGCTACCCACCACCTGATGAACATGTACACTTAAGCACATGTACAGGTGCCTTTAGGTGCAATGAAAAACCAGGATTTTCTCTTGGGGCAGATACAGACAAGAATCAAGAGAATGACAGCGAATTATGTTTTTTCTTTTCTTATCAAAGCTGGCATGTCTGCCAGAGAGACATATTCTACCTCTGTGGGAGACTGAATAATTGCTCCACGAAGCTTCACGTATCCTCATTCCTGAAACCCATGAATATGTTATGTTACATGGCCAAAGGCACTTTGCAAATATAATTAAAATTATGAAACCAACCTGAAAATAGGGAGATTACACTGGATTGCCTACATGGGCCAAATCTAATTATACGAGCCCTTACAAGCAGAGATGTTTCTCCATCTGGAGGCAGAGAGAGAAGTTAGAGAAATTCCAAGAATGAGACAGGTTCAATGTCCCAAGTCTGACTCAAAAGTAGAGGCCCACACGCAAAGACTAGAGACAGGCCTGGAGAAAATATAGCAGCTCCAACTGATAGCCAGAAAGAGGACTTACTCCTCACTCTTCTTACAACCACTAAGAACTGGGTTCCTAATAGAATGACCTGAATAAGCCTGAAATGGGATTCTTCATAGTGTGTCCCAATAAGACACACTTATTGTCAGGCTTTGACAGCTTGATTTGGGCCTGTGTAACCCCAAGCAAAGAAACCAGCAGAACCAACCCATACTTCTCACCTACAGAAGGGTGTTATAATCAATATGTTATTTAAAGTGTCTTACTGTATGGCATTTGTTATGTCAGCATAGAAATCTACTATATGCTCCTAGTATACCAGGATTTATAGGAATCCAATTTCTGGACATGGTTGATACACAGTCATTTCCTAGGTCTTTCCTTATCCACCACTTGAGACAGAGGCTTTGATACTTTACCATTCAGTTAAGCTCACTTATTAGTGTATAGATTCAGTGCCAGTCTCAAATAAGTCACCAGATTACATTCTCCTCTCTTTCTAACTGCATCTGCTTTCTAAACCTCCTCTCTAACTTCAGAGTTATCTTTCAAGGTTAGATTCTGTTCCAAGTCTGACTTGACTCACAGGTAGACTCGGAAAAAATCTTGAGTGTGGCGGAATTACCCAGAGCAGATGAGTAGGTATGTAGTGTTCACTGCCAAAGTAAACAATTACATGGAAGGGGCTGTTATCAGAGAAGTTCCAAGTGAGCAATGTGACAAAACAGAGGACATCTGCAGGGAGTTGGAATGCTCTGAGTCAGGAGAAGGGAAGGAAGGTTATTCTGGGCTTCCTTTCCCATAGGGAGCAGGGTGCAGCCTTCATGGAAGGAAGCAAGGAAGAGCTGGACAGCAGGTAAGGATCCAGATTTGGGCACAAGGACTCACAGGGGCTGACTCAAGGAAAGAACAGTGTAATTTGGGAAGTGCTGGATCTGGTCCCATGTGCCAGCACCTGGGCAAAATCAGCTCCCAAAGAACCCTGGAGCTAGGGGTGGATGGACCCTACGAAAATGAGGCCCACAGGCAGTCTCCAAATGGTGTTCAATTCTCATTTTCTCCATTATTTATTATATCTGGATTTAGTACACTGGCCACAGGTTCCTTCTTTTTATTGCCTAGAGAGACGGTGCAGTAGTGAGAAGAGAAATGAATTAAAAGACAGAACATCTGCTTCATGCAGGAAGGAGTGGAACAATGTGGGTTCTAAACAAATTCAGACTATGGTTCTAATTTTGACACTTATGAACCACATGAAGTCCGGAAAATTGCAAAGCTCTATGAGGCTCAGGCTTTACGTGAAGTGACCCTGATAAGCCTTGCCTTGTAGGATTTCTGGGTTATATGTAATGTATGAAAACTCTGGGCACAGTGCCTAGAATTTACTGCATATTTAATAACTAGCATTTGTTACTATTATTAGTTTGACCCCAGGTCCTATCAAAATCTCTGTGATTGTTTTTAAAGCAAGAGATGTCTGAAAATATGCAGCACTCTATGATACAGCACACAAATCAGCCAAAAATGCCGCTTAGCAAGTAAAACTCAGTTATTTACTATGCAAATTTGAGGATTTCTTATTTATTGTGGGTGTGGGGTAGTCCTCCCCAGTTGGATTCAATTTAAGACTCCTATAATTTATGTCAAAGACTAATTTCTTCCATCCCTTCAACTATCCTTCCATCCAAACCACCCCTATTTTCATTTCTTTCACTCGCATCAAAAATCTAGCCCTCACTTGAGTTTGCCAAATGATACTAAAGACAACCTAATAAAAATGCCCTTTTAGGAACAACACACACCAGGTCCTGTTGGGGTGTGAGGGGCAGGAAGAGGGAACCTAGATGATGGGTCAATAGGTGCAGCAAACCACCATGGCACACGAGTACCTATGTAACAAACCTGCACATTCTGCACATGTATCCAGGAACTTAAAGTACAATTTTTTTAAAAAGCCCTTTTAATTAAGTGGGTTTAGTGGGCTTTGTTTCCCCAGGCCAGAGCAAATAATGCCAGCACAATGGCTTTTGAGCACATTCATGTCAAGTAATATCACTCTTGTTTCTCAGAAGGTCCCTGGAGCTGATGTGCATAAAACATAGTTTGTGGACTGTGCCCAACTGCACTGGAAAAATGACACTGGAAAAGGATGCAAGACGCCTTCCATTCCCGTCTTACAATTACTTCTGGTTTATCTATTACCTCAAAATAACTGCTAAAAGCAGTTCTTCATTCCAGGCATTAGTCTTTTTGAGGATCTGGCCCCTGCTCACTACTCCCACAGCCTCAACCAACCCACCATCCAGACTAACAAAATTGACTGACACTGAAGGGTTTGCAGTTTCCTAAGGCCCCAAACCCACTTGCCTCAGGATACTTTCACTTGACTGCTCTGATCTGGATCTTCCCACCTTCTCTTACTCATCCTTTACTTAGGGTATATCTCACCATCTTCCTTACATGACAGCTGCTCTTAGATTTTAAAATTCAGTGCGTGTGCTTGGGTCTTATTTATCCTGACATTCCCAGTACCAGCATGGTGCCTTCCCTCCAAAGAACAAATGCCCAAGTAATGTTTGAGAAATAAGTGAGCCAGTGTGCAAGAAGTCAGTTTTATTATGATGTAGCCTCTCCTACATGGTTGAATAAACTAATAATATCTAAGTATCTATCTCTTAATTTTACAGAGCAGACTAAACATAAGGGAATGCAAGCATTTATCATCTTCTACATTTTCCCTCTATTTCTTCATTCCAACTATTTTACTGCTTTTTAAAAAAATATTTCCAAGGAAATGACTAATTCACTACTATGTTATCTTGTTGGAGATCACTAAATAGGATGGAACTTTTCCTGTTTTTTTTCTATAAAATAGTAAAACTCTACTCTAAAACCTCACAAACATCAATAAATGTATGACTTATTATCACTAATAATCTTGGATTCTTAAGCTACTTTAACCTTCTATTAAAACGAACAACGTTTAAACAAATATCCAAGTTACCCAGAACACGTTATGTACTGTGTTATAACAAGACACAGCCAACCCTCCACTAGTGAAACACTGACTGTCCTCTTCAAAAACACAGTAAAGCATTTTCCTCAGCCTTCACTTGGGGCAGGCAAGGCTGCTGGACATGGCCTTGGAACGCACACTGGCCATGGCAGCAGTACAGGTCCTGGCTGCAATTCTGGCTTGGGATCTCTCTTCCACATTTTTCCAAAGCCTCTTCATAATGGGATGGGAAGGCACTGGGGACTGTACCATGGATCTTGGCCAAAAACTCTAGGACTTTCATCTTGCTGGTTTCAGCAAAGGCTTGTGGACCCCACAGGAATTCATAGCTTGGAGAACTGCTGTTGGGCACTTCCCGATACTCCAGCTACTGCTCTTGCACTAAATCTTTGGTGAGGTGGTTGGTGAGGAGGTTCCTGGGCTCTCCATAGATGAAGTGCTCCTGCCTCTAG